TGCTGAACCATGTCAGTTGTTTGGAAACTTGTTTAAGGAAACAGGCTTTGTTTCTCAGTACTCATTTCTTAAAGTAAAATCTAAGTTTAAACTCTTTGTAATTATTCTAAATTGCAGAACGATGGCCTCACAGGAGCAGGTCTGGCCAGTCCCAATGAAGGCAATTGGAGCACAAAACCTTTTGACAATGCCTGGAGGAGTGACCAAATCAGGGTATCTTCATAAAAAAGGAGGCACCCAGCTGCAGATCTTGAAGTGTAAGTTGACTAAACTAAATGTTTTAAATGCTTGCCTTCGGGGCTTTTAGCACATTTCATGTTAACAGACTATTTAATGCAGCTGATCTGCTGCTTCGCCTGTACTGGATTACAGTTTTACTGGAGTATATAAATGAAAGTCCCATATTGAAAGAATTTCCTATAGTTGTTTTGAAACTGTAAATCTTAGGTAATAAATGTTGTGGGTGATTTACTTGGTTAAATCTTTTGTCAAGTCCTTCACAAATAAGGTTTTAAAGACACAAACAGATTCCTGGTGTATGTATCAATTTCAAATACTATTTTCTAAAAGAAATTAGTACTCAGCTTTTTTCCCAGTCGGTTATTCTGTATTGGAAAAATATCCCCATCTCCTTCTGCTGTTGTGAAATAGAAATTTTCTCACTGCCAACATCAGGTTGTATTTAGAAACAGTAATTGCTTCTGGAATCAGAATCTATTTAAATGGAAAAAACTGTACTTATGTAGTGAAGGACAAAGATTACTGTCTTTGATAAAGGAAGGAGTGTTGCCTCCTTTAAAAAAAAAAAAAAAGAAAATAAATCATCAGAGGGATACCATCATGGGTTCAGGATGTTCATAAATATGTATTTATACCCTTTGGCTACCTTCTTCCTTCCACTTTGTTTTAGGTTGCATTATTGCATTAGCTTATTCCTCTAGTGAAGGAGCACAAGTGGAGGTCAGACCTGCAGTCTATTAGGCTTCTTTTGAAGTTATCAGATCAGCTACCTCTGAAATGAGAGCAGCAGATGCTCCCTTTAGTCCTGAAACACTGTGAGCAGACAGCTTCACCCTGTGGCTGATGGTCACTTAACTAATTTGTGCTCTTTTATAATGATTACTAAGATGACTAAAATCTTAAACAATAGTTCTAACCGAGTTAGAGGCTCTAGTTAATGTACTGCCTTTGGATATATTTTGCTCACTTTCTTTCTTTACCTTTTCAGGGCCATTGAGATTTGTGATTATCCATGAGGGATGTATTTACTATTTTAAGAGCAGCACATCTGCATCCCCACAGGGTGCTTTTTCTTTGAATGGTTACAACAGGTGAGTGCCAAAGAACTTAACACCCAAGCGTCTTCTACTTAATACTGGGGGGGGGACGACGGGACTGTGGTTTTCACTTCCAGTGAAGTTGAACAGGACTACACCTGTTATTTGGGTTAAGCACTGATCTTGGACTCCAAGAGGTGTATTCCTTTCAAACTGTATATATGATGTTCCCTGTGCTTTGCAAGTATATAGCCTTCATCTTTTGTAATTTAACCAGTAAGGCTATTAAAATTGCAGCAGGCTTACTCTTGTTACTGACTTACTGCAGACTTTGCACGTGCAGGTAGATGTGGATTCTTTTGGAAAAATTATCTTTGTTCTCTAGTGACTTCAGTGATTGTCACAAAAATAGAAAGGAATCAGAAAAGAATATTTATGGAGTTACTGATTCAGTAACGTGTGTCAAAACTGATTCAACTACAGTAGTGATAGACGAGAGAACGCATGTGCAAAACGTCTGACTGATCTTGTTACATGTTCTAAATCTTAATGTTTGCTTTTTAAGTTGAAGACAAAAAGACTTTGCTTTCACATTAACCATGACTACCAGAATCTGAGTGCAGCATACGTACAAGGCTTACGGTTAGAAGCCTATCCTAACTTTAGGAAATTGCTGTTGTAACTGATGCTCAGAAAGGACTATGGAGAGAATGCAGAGATTTATCGCATCATTGGTCCTAACCACTGCAATTTTTTTTGGTATTTTTAAACATGTATGTTGTTCTTGTACTGCATAATGTTCTCAGACTTCTGGAATACGGAAATATCTTTTGATAGAATGCGAGAGCCTTCTAACTGGCTGCAACAATAATATATTTTATGGGAATACAGTTGTAAGCATTGTGACTAATTAAAAATTCAATATGAATTTGTATAAGAAACTTGTGCTGTGACTTAGACATGACTCTAGCTTCAGTAATCACATTAACATGAAAAATACTGTGGAATTTGTAAATGCTGGGGATTGTGTCATTGCTTTGCATATATCTGCATTCTAGCAGCCTTGTAGGGACTTTGACTGTAATCAGGACCAGATCTTGTTCAGTATTATGAACAGTCATAAGCATTATTGAGAAATCATTTGAAATGAAAGAATTTGTTAGCCTGGGTAGTTGCATAAGGCTGCGTGAAAACAAGTCACTCTAAGGCTTCTCTGGACTTTTATTTTGCCATTTTCATTCAATAGACTTTATGTGTGTAGCATGGACATGACATGAGAAAGTGCTGAGTGCACTAATGACTCAAAATGTATAGTGATGCCTATTGCTAGTATCCCTCCCAGCTGTACCAGGGGTATTTCCCACATTAACGTCCTTATGAGCCTTACATTAGTCAAATAGCTTAAAAGTTCCTTTTTTATTGGCTTTGTTTTGGACTGGGCAGATGCAGAAAAGTACATCCTCCAGTTTAAAAGTAGGATTTGGGGTCTAAAAAAGAGGTAATCTCTAATTTTGCAGTTGACATTGTTCTTAATGACAGCTTCCAGGTGTTAATTAGATTGATGTTTTTTTCCCCAAACATTATCTTGAGTAAGTCCCTAATCAAATGTCAAATATCTCTGAGAATATTCTTTCCTATACTCACAAACCATGTTCCCCAATATTAAGGGCTTATGGAAATCCTGTATTGCATGAGGAAGCTGGTGAGGTAGAAAAGTTTAGGAACAAGGAAGCAAGCCCCAGTAATGATTTGTAAAAGCTTTTATCAGACTTCTCTTTGTTTTATGCAGAACAAATCTTAGAAATGTTGCTTTTAGATTACCCACAGTCTTTAGATTTTAGTCTCTTTATTTGTTCCAAAGCCTCACAGAGAGCATCTGCAACCAAATTTTTGCATATGTAAGGAATTTCCTCATTAGAGACCTCTCTGGGGGAAAAATAAAAGGAAACAAACATATCTAATGCAGTTTGTGAAAAAGGTTGAGTTGTGCTTGGTTGAAAATAATAAAAAAGGGCAAGAAAGTGTTTATAAGGGAAAAGTGGAAAAATAAATTAACTTTTTAATATTAGTTCTCCTTTATTTTCATGGAAAATGTGTATTTTGTTTTTTTTCCTCTGTGCCTTTCTGAAATAAGGATCACAGGCACCTTAAATACTCCTTATTGTGGTTTGAAGCTTGTGAATTAATGCAGTTCATCAAAACTATTGAACAGGTCAAAACATCCATCTGTGTAAGTGTGGCTGGTGGTTTAACAAGTGCTCTTTGTCCTGTCAGGGCTCTTGTTGGTTGTCCTTTCTACCACCTTCAGTGGATACAAATGCACAAATGTAGGGATTTTTAAGGCTTTCTTCTGGGCTTGGGGGTTATTTTTCCCAAGGCAGAACTAGCCTGTAACGCTGCTTTCTGTCAGAGCTTTATGACTTGGACAGCAGAAATACAGATGAAGGTTTTCATGTATTGGTGGTTCTGTTTCTCAGGGTTATGCGGGCAGTTGAGGAGACGACATCAAGCAATGTGTTTCCTTTCAAGTTAGTTCACATTAGCAAGAAGCACAGGACGTGGTTTTTTTCGGCTTCTTCTGAAGATGAAAGAAAGGTAACTTTCTTCTGCTTTTGCAATGTAATTTTCCTTGAAGCAGAAAGCGAATCCTGGACTTCACTAAAATCTAAATGGACTGGACATGCAGCTGCCACCAGAATTTGTATACCTACTTATTTTGGCTCCTCTGAAAATCGTTTCTGAAGCTTTAACTAGTAAGTTAGTGTTAGTTCAAGTTGTAATTTAGGGAATGGTTGCAAGTGGCACATAGATGGCATGGTTTTCTCCTTAATCTTCGTTCTATTTTTAGCCAAGGAACAAGTATTTGTATGTTAAACCTTTGATAAAGTGTGAAACCTTTTCAGTGAGATCTCTCACTATGAACAAGCACCTGGCTTTAGAAAGAACAGCTTGAAATTTGCAGACTAGAAGTTTCATATATTTGTTTAATATACATTCTTATAGCACTTCAGATAGAACATTTGGCTGGTAAGTCCTATCAATATAAAGGATTCATGGATGAATCCTATTTCAGTATATGTTCCTTACAGAGTTACTCTTTTCTTACAGAGAATGGATAGTATAAATTTTTGTTTGACAATTTAAAAAGCTTGTATTGAATGTTGTATTCTTTTTCTTATTTAGAACTGGATGCTGTCCTTGAGGAGGGAAATTGATCACTACCATGAAAAGAAAGAAACAATAACAGAATGCAGGTATAAACCCTTAATTTCTATTTGCTTCTTATCCCTTTTGCTCCAGTTCTTGACAGTGGTGCTTTAGGCTCTTTGCACCTACAAATAATTTACTGTTAAATCAAAACAGGTGCAGTAAGGCCCAAGAATGAAAGGCCTTTCCAATACGTAGTTTAAATAATACCAAGACAAACCAAATCTTTTTACTAAGAGAACTTTAAATGTCAGTTTTGTATAAAACAAATAGAAACTTTAAAAAGACAGCAGCAATGTATCTGGCTGTTAATTGGGAACGAGGAATAGATCACTTTGCTTTTCCAGCATTCCTTTGCAGTGCTGCAGTCCTGCTAACAGGCCTGTGTACTGTCCCAGGACCCATAGCTCAGTGATGTAGAAGGTACTCTGTCTTTTCTTTTGCAGTGACTCTGGTTCCGATGCAGACAGTTTCTATGGCTCAGTAGAACGTCCCATTGATATCAAGTACTCTCATCATTCAGCAGATAATGAAGGTGATAAATTTAGACACTGATAAATAAGATTTACTTCCTTATTTATTTCTTCTAGATTCTGCAGAAATTATTCCCATATCTTAAGCAAACTGATCTAATTTGCAACTATAAATTCTTCTTTTTACAAAGTGTGTAGCTGTTGTAATTTTAAATCAGAAGCAGTTGTTCTGTGCCATAAACCATTAGTAAAAATAAATTGTAACTAAAGAAATTCAGATCTTTCAAGGAGGTGTCTGACACCCTTGGGCAACATGGTCTAGTGTGAGGCATCCCTGCCCTTGGCCGGGAGTTGGAACTAGATGGTCTTGAAGTCCTTTCCAACCCGAACCATTCTGTGATTCTATGATTCTATATTGAGATGTTGTTATTGTTTGTTTAGTATGAAACAGAGTTCATCCCTGCAGCTCACGAAGATCTTGGCATTAGGCATAGGATCTGCTTATGTGAAATGCACAGAGGAATGTTTTTTTGATGACTTTTAAACTGAGTAACTTTTTAAAGTAAGGCTTTGAATGTCTGATTCTTAGCCTAGCCTGGTTTTAATCAAAGTTTGTTCCTTGTTCATTGCTGTAGTTGTTTCATAGTGAGCAGTTGGGGCTGGGTGTGTTTATTTTTTCATCACAAGTGAAGAAGACATTCAGCAAGCCTGTCAGATAAGTGTTCACAGCATATTCCAGCTACTGGCTTCCTAGTCAAGAAATGTGCTACTACAACTCAGCATGAGAAGCCTCGCCTCAAGGTTCAGCATAGTTACTTTACTAGGCCTTATCCCACCTGCCCCTTCAGATTTCCATGGGCAGGATTGACTAGAGCAAGTACTCTCATTTCCTGACAGGAAATTCCTGACTGTTTTTTGCGACTAGGACCAAAAGGCAGGAGTGAATCTTTTTAGGAAATCCGGTTCAAGTGCTGCAAAGCAGGGGAGCACAGACTCAGCAGCATTTCATATAGGATTGTGGTTTAGTACTTAGGTGTTTCTGGGAGGGAAGGGTTGTATGCAATAGAGTGTTAAGGTAGGCTTCTGTGTTGCAAAATCATAGAACTTTCTGGTTTAGGGTTAGGTTTTGGGGATTACTTTCTTTTCCAACTGGATTTGCCAGTGCATCCATGTAAGTTGTGTATCTGCAACTAAGTAGAATTGTTCTCAGGAGGGCTCTAATATCAGAAAGTGTCACCAGAAAGTAAAGTTTAAGTTGAAAGATGGGAAAAATGTGATACGAAGTATAGCTCATCTCCCACTGTTGTAAGTGATGGCTTTTTTGAATTGACAAGAAAATTTAAGGAAACGTCTTCTCTAAGTACCAAAGAGATGGACCAAAATTCTTCTTTTTTTATCCTCTTTTTTAAAACAATGAACTGAAAACTGTTTGTTTTATGAAAAAGCACTATGTACTCAGTAGTCTTTCATGGTTCCAGGAGTACTTAGAGTCTGATACACTGGTTTTTATTTGTAGATTACGACCAGGAGGAAGAGGATGAGTCTTACTTGCAGCCAGATACTTCTGACATAGTAAAAGATGGTATGTGATTCCTTTCTTTCCCTTCACAAAAGGGCTCCCAGTGAAGGCAATATTTGTGTAGAATTCCAGATTATTATTTTGGCTTGGTCATATCTAAAGTAATGCAGGTGGTGAAATAACTGAGGCAATGCGCAGGTATCTAATCTTGAGAGGTATTTAGGGTCAAAAGTTCCTCGTAACAGCACAAACAATTTACAGGGAGTGTTGCATGCCTTAGGGCATGTTTTCTTGCAGGCCTCCTGCCCTGGAAGGCCCTGTGTCTGGCCATCAGTCTGGAGGAGGGGTAATGTTTTTAATGTGGTCTCTCTGGTAAAGTTATCGTGAGCCATCCCTGAATAGAAATTGCAGGAGTTTACTACATAAAACATTCAGAATTGTGCTGGAAGTTAAATATTTATCCAACATTTGGGTACTGTCAGGCCAGATGCCAGTGCAGTATCTTAAATCACACAGAAAATTAATCTGAAAAGTCTCATTTCTTGACATACTGTATTTCCCCTCAGTGTGTAATGTATTTTGGATGTTTTCTTTCTGTAGATATGGTCCTGCCCCCAGCCTACCCGCCTCCACCAGTTCCTCATGTCAGAAAAGCTCCCTACTCAGAGTCAAGGGTAAATTCCTTTCCTGGCAAATCCACTGTGCCAGTACCACCACCACCTCCAAAAAGAAGCTTACCTGATATCAAACTAGAAGATACCTTAAACATGAGAGAACCCCACTGCCGACCTGAACCTAATCTAAAGATCCAGCCCTCATGTCGAAGGCTCAGTGAACAGCTGCCCCCTGTACCCCCTCTACCTCTTCTCAAAAAGACTGTGGGTATCAAAGAATCTTCCTCATTGCCTCCAGAGCCTGTGCCTTTAGCTCAAGTTCTTGCTACTCCAGAAGGGTGTGAGAAGCTAAAAACCTTAAACCTTTCACCACGAACTCCTCCTCCGCTACCAAGCAATAAACCCAAGGTGTCACAGCTTACTGAAAAACCAGTAGAGCCCAGAGTGCCAAGAGAACACAGTAAACCTGGACTGTTTGTGCCACCAGTGCTCCCAAAGCCACCTGTGCCAACCCACCAGCCACCCGGAGTCAAGCCTAGACCTGAGAAGTCTTCATGTCCCCAGTTACAGTAAGTATGAAAACACAAGGTGCTGTTTTCCGTGCATTAGGTAACTGACAGACTGATTTCTCACATTCACATTGACATCTGTTTCTTTTACCTGCTCCATCCCTCTCTTCCTCGCTGTGTTGTGCTTTTTTGCCTGTATTGCAATAGGTTTAGCTTTTGAAATAGTTCAGAAAGAAATTGGAAACAAATCGAACATAAGAAAAAAATACACCGAAATTTTGTAGTTAATTTCTTTTCAGGTGTGTCTTAAAGATTTAATAGCCTTTGATCACAGTTCTTTATGTCAGAACCTCAATGAACTGCAAAACCAATTTTAGGCTTCTGTGGAGATAGGAAATGTGTTTCATTTCATATTAAGATCAGGGAGGTGGAACTAGTTATGGTGGTGAGTCAGATAAAAATATTTTTGTCCATTGGATCATTTAGAAGCTCTGAAGAACAAATAATAAATTCTTTAAAGACAGTACACGGAAGACGCTGATATACTGGAACAAGTCTAGTGGAAGGCCAGCCAGATGTTTGGGCTGTAGCACATGATGTATGAGGAGAGGCTGAGAACTGGACTCATGCAACCTTTGGGAAGGCTAGTGGGAGACCACTGCTGTCTACAACTAGTTAATGGGTGGGTATGGAGAAGGCAGAGCAAGACCTCAGAGGTCTGCAAGTGATAGGATAAGAGGCAACAGGCAGAAGTCACAACCTGGGAAACTACAGTTAGATGTTAGGAAAAGTTTTTCACCATGTGGCTCATGAAACACCAGAACAGGTTGCTGCTGGGAAGCTGTGGCATCTCCATCCTTGGACGTACTCAAAACTTGACTGGACACAGCTTTCTGAGCTGCCTGATCTGGTTGGACCTGCTTTGTGCAGGAGCTTGGACTAAATGATTTCTAGAGGTCCTTTCCAACCCAAATTAATCTTTGATTGCCTAAATTAATCTGTGAGTACTGTGTCCAGCTCTGGGGCTCTGAACATGGTTGTGGACCTGTTGGAGCAAGTCCAGAGGAGGCCATGAAGATGAAGCACCTCTCTATGAATACAGGCTGAGAGAGCTGGGCTTGTTCAGCCTGGAGCAGAAAAGGGTTCAGGGAGACCTTAAAGCAGCCTCCTAGTACCTAAAGGGGCCTGCAAGAAATCTGGAGAGGGACTTTTTACAAGAGAATGTAGTGACAGAACAAATAGGGGAATGGCTTTAACCTGACAGAGGGGAGATTTAGAATAGATATAAGGAACAAGTTCTTCCCTGTGAGGGTGCTGAGGTGCTGGCACAGGGTGCCCACAGAAGCTGCGGCTGCCCCATCCCAGTGTTCAAGGCCAGGCTGGGCACAGAGGCTTGGACCAACCTGC